AAGCCAAAGCCTGGTGGGAGCCAGAGAAAGAAAGCAGATAGGATTTTCCAGCCACCAGTGACTGACAAATGAAGGCAATCACATTTCCTGGGATCCCCTTCCAGCCAAAGCCTGACCTTGAGAACCTCCTCAAAGCAGCTGCTACATCTGTGCATTCCATATGCAACTGTTCCAGCAACAGAAAAATTACCAGGGCACTGTTTAAAGAAACCCAAGGGCTCAGACTAATCTCTAAACAAAACTTAAATAGGCTGAAACACCAACATTTCTGAGCAGCTTTATCAAACAAATGCACAGATGGCTAACTCTCCTGCAAGTCTGACCTTGAAAATAAAACTCACTCCAGGTTTATTCACCCCTCCCTTTCCCATTGACTGAATGCACTTACATAGTGTGTTGTGAAATTATAAATTCGTCAGGGCACAATCTCAGTTTCTCTAAAATCTGGATGTAAGTTCTTACCCTGTAACATCAACAGGGTTATGAAGTATTCAAACTGACTGTACTTACCCTGTCTGAAATTATCTATAGCATTTAATATAAAAGCATGTTTACATGGTTTGGGGGGGTTTTGCTGCAACTGAAAGCTCTACCACTGATCTGTAGAGTGGCCTCAGACATCTGCCTTCAGTGATACTGCTGTTCTTTGGGGACACAGCTATTTCTTACCCTCTTAGGCAGAGGCCACCCTGATCTAGGTTTCACTCTAAACACAGCGATCGTGGAAGTCACTGATCCTTCAGGAACATGGGAAGACTCAAGCTGCAGAGTCACAGTACTTTTCCTTAATCTGTTCTGACTCATCACTTCTTCAGGGTAAGCAGTGAAAGGTGGAAACTCAAATTCAGTCCCAGCACAAGGACCTAAAGGACTTCATAAATCTGGGCAACATATTTCACAGGGATATTAGTGAAAATTAAATGCATTATTGCAAGAATTTTCTGCCAGAGAATAAAAGCAAGTGCAGAGCCCAATATTCAGTGGCAGAGAGTGAGTGTGGGAAGGGAAATGCATCCAGTATAGCCTCAGAGAATAAAATTCATCTCAATGAATAGGAAAGAATATTCACATCCATAAAGTAATTTCTTCCTCACCATGATATCACAGTTTTTTTAAGTAAATAATTACGTTGATGAGCTAATTCCATTACTGCCTATCACAGTGATTAATATTGCTTGACCGTTGCTTTGCAGCGCTCTCTACTATCTACATACTGCCTTCCATTTTGTTGATTACTCTTTGGGTCAGGGACTATCTTTAGGGTTACATTTGTGCTATGTGTCTGTGGTTCAGGATGAGTCACTATGGGAATAGCCCATTCTGCCTGACTCTCCATGGGGTTCAGTGCTGGAGTTCAGCAGCATCCTGTGCTTGCTTCTCCTGAAAAATGATCAGAAATCCTTCTTATGCCGGAGGAGCTATAAAAGGACTAGGCATCACTCAGTGATAGTTACTCATCACCACGTTCATTCCTATTGAGCCACACAAGAAATTCAGAGAGCACAATGCGTCCTACCAGGACAAAATAAATAGCCCTGATCTGATATTTGGGAACTCTCTTCATCATTTCTTGATAAGCAATATTGCTATATCTAAAATGGAAAAAAGTCCTACCAATCATATTTATGAACATCTTTTACAAGCAAGCGTTCCACATTTTGAGAGAAAAAGAGAGAAATAAAAACTGACATAAATAGAGTTTTGATTTAAATAGGATGACTTACTCAGCACATACTTTAAGAAAGACTTCTAAGCTACTGCAATTATTTAAACTGCAACCAAGACATTACAATATTGGTTTGAAAAGTGTCTTAGTGGTAAGTAGAGAAATATAAGTGGTATACAGGGAAATAGATCGTAGGGAACAAAGCAAAGATGGAGCAGAGAGGGACACCTGAGGTCCTGCAAAAGCTGAGTTTATTGTTCTCACTGAATTAGAAAGAAAGAAATGAGAAGGCCCAAGCTCCCTCCTGCAGCAGGAGCTGCTGCCACCTTGATGTCTGGCATCAAGGGCAGATGAAAAAGACAACTGTATCAGGGCAGTTCTGCAGTCTGCTTTGCCAAAGTCAGCTCTCCTGAAGCCCTTCTAACCCTCTGAAAGGTTTTGCTCATGTTCTCAACTGCAGTAGACATATATTTACGTTGTCTGAATGATGTGTCCTTCCTGCATGTTCCCACTTGGCCAGCTGACCATGGAAAGATGCTCAGCAACAAAGCTATTCACTGCAACAAGATGCTTTGCTTTAGAAATTCCGAAGCAGAGAGATGATCTGAAATTGTGCATCCATCTTAAAACAAAGACTTAACTGTCAGGATAGAGTCAGGTTACTGTACTAGAGAAGACAGAAGAGTAGTCTAATATATATATATTGCTTCTACTATGCATATATAAGCCTATGCACCTTCTTATATCCACAAGCAGCATTTGAGATTTATGCCATTTCTGTTCCACAGATGGCTTATTGGGCTGGATTTTTAACCAAACATTATTGGCTTAAAAAAAGTAATTTATGAGCCATCAAACAGAAGTATTTACTCACAGCCAAAAACATGGTTCAGAGTTTTGCTCATGAGCACAAGCAGAAAGAAGAATTTGGGGATTCAAAGAGCTGAAACTCCTAACATTAACAACTGACCTGTGACCTGCCAACCGAAGTTCACAGAGTAGCTCAGCATGTGGCTTCAAAACACGGATATCCACTTTATATTAGGAAAACAAACCAACCAACCCTTTTCATTATAGGAAAAGCAGAGCACTGGGAAAACCAGGATGTCTCCTCAAATGAGATTTTTTAACATCGAATTTATCATTCAGGTTTGGAGGACCTTGGTTTTGGCCAGGACAACCACAGACTGCTTGAGGTTCCTTCCATTCCTGAGAACCACTCATACACTCACTTCTCTCTTCTGCCTAGGCAGCCTCACTTTTTTATACATATCTATTATTCAGACTTTTGAAATTGAATTAGCCTGATTTCTGAAGTGTTGATAGCCCGATTTTATCTTGAATAAAAGGACATCAATGTCATGTGGAAACAATGATGAAGGGAATTAATCCAGACAGCATTAAGGAATTTTATGTATTTCCAAGTGGGCGCTGTAAGGTTTTTCTAACAGCAGACAGGTATTAGATCAGACAATCTTTAACTATCAGGCAACAAATCCTTCCTTCATGATGGCAGCTTCACAAGAGATGCAAGGGAAGGTATGCACATGAAGGGGAAAACATCAGACTTTCTTCTGGTCTAGGTCAATTCCCTCCATGTGTTAAACACAGAAAAAAAACCCACCTCTGTTTTAATACTGTACATAACCCAAACAACCACCAAATAAGCACTTTGGATTCTTCAAGATTCCTCATATACATGGCACAAATGAACACAGCATTTCAAGCATATCATAGTTGAAGATGCCCACCCTCCCCAGGTTAGATTTTTCCATTTTACTACGAATATTCATGTTCTCATATATTCTTTTTCACCCTACCCTAAGGTCCTTTTCACCCAATCATTTTAGCATGTTGATAATGGCAGCCAAGTCATGGAATGAAAATTGAAGGCAGCTGGTAAGATAATCCTGGACGTCATCCGGATGCAAGTGAAGCATGAGTATCTAATTCATTAAGGGAACAGGAGGATTAGGGTGGTCATGAGCATCTATTCTGCTTAATTTGACATTCCATTAATTTACTCTCTCAATGGACAGGACAGGAGGTGCAACATAATTATAGTTCAGAATCTGAAACTTCTGGCATGTCTGAAGACTTATTAGTTTGATGGCAGTTGGCTGGCGGGAGCATGGCAGGAGATCAGCAAACTTTGTGCTTGCTGTACCCAATATGTTTCAGTAATAAACTGTGTGTGGGATTGGTGGAGTTCTCCATGGAGAACAAAGACACTGCCTCTATATAGCAAATGACTTTCCAAAAGCCTTGAGAGCAGAAACTTCCAAGGATGCTTCAGGTGAGTCTATTTGTATCAGACAAAACAGCTGCTTTAAAACCTGGATGGAAGATATATGAGCCTAAGTTTCTTCTCAGAGTGAACAGCATTGCTGAAAATGCAAAACCCTGTTCCCAGTGAGCCTCTTCTCTTGCACAGCTACTCAAACAGACGGGATGATTCACTGACCAAATTTTACTCTGAACAAATGTTCAACTGGAGCAAACCCACAGGCCCTGCAGCTCTGACATGCAGTCAGCCTGAGCAGGCAGTATGCACGTCCTACCTGCAGCTCTGAACCACCACTCTGGAACATGCAGGACACAATGTTTTTGCAGCTCTTGGGAAAGAGAAGTATCAGAAAGCATCTGCCCCCTCAACTCTATGTATCAAAATTAATGACCAGATTTTTCAAGGGCTCTCAAAATACACCAGCAATAGGGTAATACGAGAATTTTAAAAGATGTTCCTAATGCTTTACAACACTAAAACCAAACCCTTTAACACATGTCCCACTCAAGCTCACATTTCACCTTGAAGTCACATCAGATTTTGTTTCTTTGATTGAGAAGTAGATGTGTGAAAATATATGTAATAGGAAACCCCACTAATATGCTGCTCACAGAAAGACTGACATCTTGATAACATATTGATTTAGTCTACTGGACACCGCTGGCTATCACAGATGCAGTGCTATACTTAGAGAGAAGCTGACTCATTAAAAATGACAGAAATCACAGTACCTAGACATTTAGATAAACTTTGGATGTACAAACAGACAGACCTTGTAACTGCATTTCAATTTAATTAGCTTAGGGCTGGCAGCCAGATGGACAATATTAGAGACAGACACTCAGTTAAATCATACAGCGAACAGAGCATCAGGAACTTGTCATCACTGTCTGTTGGATCTAGTATCTGCAGGAGTCAGAAACCTGCTGCATTCAGGCTGTTGCCCCTGGCAAGGTAATGAAGAGAAGTGACTGTTACCTTTGGTCCTGCCACACATTTTAGGGCCTGCTGGAACTGAATCAAGGCACTTGAAGAGGTAAAACCCACCTGGCAGATGAAACCAGTGGATGAGCACTGCCGAACCCAGAGGCTGAATTTCCTCTTTTTCCTCTTGCGCAGTTCCCTCTCTGTGCACGTGGCAATGAAAACAGGATCCTCATCAATCAGGGGCTCATGTAGTACCTGCAATTGGCAAGAAAAGAGGTGGGCAAAGAAACAGAAGAACACACGATTGATCAAAAAAGTGTGCTTTAAATTTTTTCAAGGAAATACAATCCTTGCACTGTGCTTGTGTGCATCACCCCATACAAAGAAGAAAACCCACTTTTGGTCAGTGCTACCATCCACCAGAAACCAAAGCCTGGCTAGGCACACTCTGTTGTAGACAGCTGTTCTACACATGGTTTGCAAACACTGCATGGCTCACACTTCTAATTATCAGCTACAGTTCAACATCCCTCCAAAATGATGTGGGGGATGGGGCAGGGAGAGTGGATTATTAGCAACATCCTTCTCCAAGCTTCATAATGTTTGGCGGAACGCCTTCCACCCAAACATCCCCTGCAATATGTTTTAAGGTACATTCCTTGTTTACAGCAAAGGAAAACACACATCAAAGAGGGAAAGAAGTTAAGGGAGAAAAAGGTATTTTCTGCTGCCACTAAAGGAGGTGGTAAAGAGAAAACATTTTTCCTGGTGGCAGCAGCTTCCGTGAAGTCTCTCAGGAGCTGAAAAATTTTACAAAAGGAGACAGAAAGATAAAGCAACAAGAGGCAGGAACAGAAAAAGACAAGGCAGACTGGAGCAAGTAATGAAAATCTGTGAAAGTGAAGTAGTTTCTGCATTCTGCATCCAGATGATGGAAGACAAGTCCTGTTCCTTCTAGCTGTTTTGTTACACTTCCCTCCATTACTTCAGTAGCAAAACTGTTAGGTTTTACACTGTGGAATTCACCTATAGAAAAGCACTAGCACCTCCTCGCAGCTCACAGGTAGCTGTGCATAACATACACATACCTGACTGCATGGTGTGAGCTGTCTAGCAAGTCACTTGTGAAAGTACAAAGGCTTACAAACTGTTTAAAGGTCTCAGCTGATGAACGCTGGCCAAATACAGACATCTACCTCTAAATCAAAGCAATTCACTGCAGGCTCCCCTCCTAGAATACAAGGGGAACACAGTCCCAGCAGGCCATAACTCATACCCTTTTAAAGACATTTAAAATAAGTCAGATGGGTTATAACGTAAAGGAAGTCGTTCTTTTCCAGTGACCATCCTTCCAGGAGACAGGCTCAGATACAAGTATGCAGACGCTCTCACCCCCAGACCAAACCTTTCCACGCCTGCATGTGTGCTACTTTTGTGCACATCTGTGCACAGTCAGTGGCAAAAATGAGAACAAAGCAGCATTAAACCTGGGAGCGATGCTTGCAGGAGAGATCTGGTGGGTAAGCAGTTAAGTACCAGTAATGAGCAGCTGCTGGCCTCCTGAATACAAGATGTTTGTTGAACATCACTCTGTCAGCCCAAAATAGGCACCCTTGCCCTCCCCACACAGTGACAGCGGCACACTGTCATTTGTACGCTCTCCACTTCTTAAGGACTCATAAAACATTCACAGGACCATCTGAAAGCACTCTTGTGAAATGCTCAAATTATACACCAAAACGCAGATGTGAGCAAGGAGAGCTGTGCACAAAGCTATTTGTTCTTATAGCTGCAGCTGCCCTGCTTCCCTGCCGCAGCCAAATCTTCCTCTCTCAAGGTTCATACAGAACACAGCTCTTCCTTTCTAAAGGCCACCTGGGGCATTTCCCACTTCCACCTCAGAGAATTCTGACAGCATTTTGAAAATATTATGTGTGGCCTCATTTGCTTTTGCCTTCTGCATCTCTTGTGCAGAGGGAAGGAGCACATTCATTGGGATGGGGTTGGATAAACCATTAAGAATTCCTCAGCTTCGGGAAAGGCCCTCCTACCTGCCAGATCCCACTGAGTGGTGTGGTTCAGCTGTTATCATCTCCCCTGCTGCATGATGGAGAGCAGCAGAAAGAAAAGGCTGTATAATCATCACTTTAGGACATCTTTTACCCCTTTACATTATATCCCCTCTCACCTCTGCACCACAGCATCAAATCTCCTTGCAGCAGTGCTTATCTTGCTTAC